ACAACACACTAGTCAACAAAGGTGTCTCAAAAGTTGCATGACTACCTGAATAAAGACCAAAATAGTTCCACACTCTATTCACCGTCAATAAAAAATATATAAGGCTCTCGCATCCCTTTAAAGACAACTGAAACTAACAAACCAAGTGTCTGTTGATAAAAAAAGTAAAAGATGCACAGTCAATCAACTTTATTTTTTAGATCCATGATTATCTGAATTAACTCAACTTGCTAATACATATCTTCATATAAGATGAAAATAACTTCAGCACATTCTCTTCCTAATTCACAAAATCTGATAGTCTTTTGATAAGAATTCTTAATAAAAATCAACAGATGAAAAATAAGTCAAAAACACTTTACCTCGATATCACATGAAACGGCATTGAATGTTCTTTCCCACTAGATTTCATGTGTTGCAATATCTGAAACACCCGCGGATAATAAAAATCAGCATCCATATAAATGGTATATAAAATTTAGAGCTAAATAGTGCACAATAAAGACCACTTAATTGACCCAACACTACACGTACCACAAAAAGTTTTGTTGCCAGCTTTGCCGGCTCATCTTTAGAATCTTGAATGAGTTTGTGCAGAAACTTTGCTGCCTCCAACTCCACGTTATGCGAAGAAGACGCCATCTCCACCTATGAACTAACAAAATTAACAGGCCAATAAGCAAATAAAAATTTATCAGTCCCAACCTATTAGATTTAATCTCTACTTTTTCATGCCAAATTTTCGATTCCATATGTATAGTCATAATCAAACTGAAAATCCACAAATTAAAACAAAAAAATAGAACCGATAAAAGCAAAAAACGGAGACTTAAATTTCCTAGTTCATTAACCGCATTTTCAGGTCTAAAATTAATCTGAAAATCAGTAAATTAAGCTCTAAAATTAACTTATCCAACACACTAATGCAGATTATCAAGCAAATTGTTTGTTTCTCGAGAAATGTTCTTTAATTTTAGCGGAAAATTTATTTTAGCGGTGAAACAAAAAAGAAACCCTAAGCGAAGAGAAATTGGTTAGAGAAAAACGACGAAAATTACCTGATCGGAGATCGAAGAGTTCAGAGGTGAGCTACATAGAGGGAGCGGCTCGAATGTTAAACTTCCAAAATTAAAAGTAAAGTAGAAAGGAAAAACAGATGGGAAGTTTTGGTTTTGCAGGAATGAGAAAAAACGAAGCGTAAGCAAAAGGTTCCCCAAGCACGTACCTTTAACCTCACACGTGTCGGAATTTCTTTGTCAAATTACTGTTTTACTCTTTTTCGTTTGAAAATTCTGAATCTAGCCTAAGCCTAGGATCCGGCCCATGGGTCGACCGACTTAACCAGATAATCAATGGCTTACGACCCGGCCCATGGGTACACCCACTTAACCAGATAATCTTTTTTTTTTTTAAAGCAGCCAGATAATCAAATTGATGAACTTTCCTAAATTTTTTTCTAATCTGTTTGGTCAAATAATGGACCATGGAAGGGTTAAAATGGAAATATGACAAGGATTTCATTCATTCATTGATGAGTTTGGGCAATTGGTACATGAAAAATAGCGAAAAATGAAAGGAGAGAAAGATCTAATTAAGTCAAATGAACTCAAGTTTTTTTTTTAATTTGAAGAAGGGAAATTCCAATTATATTTTTTAAATAAAAAATTATATAACAATTAATAAATTAAATGCAGCTCAAGCTTTACTTAATTAATATTGAAACTTTGAAATTTGATTTTGACACGATTGAATTATTTTTTATATTTTCAAATTAATTTGAAAAAAATATTAATATTATCAATTAGACACAATTTAATGAATTACATCTTAATTTTAATTTAATAAATATTTATATCAATATATCAAAACACTTGTAAGATTTAAATACTTGTATTAAGATATCTAAATCTTACTTGTTAGTTTTTCTTCTATACAAATACACAAGATCAAAATGTGTGAACTTTTATCATATCTGTATTTACGTCCAACTTAATACTAGTAAATAGATAATCAATCAAGTCAATCATACTTGAGTTAAGTCGAATCGGATCACATTAATAACTTAAGCTCAATTATGAAAGATTTGTAAAAACAAACAATATCGAATCATAAATAATATTTGAATTAATTTGACGATTTATTTGAAATTAAATGCTATTTAAAATACTTTTTTTTCTTGAAACTAATTCAAAATTAACACAAATTTGCAATCCGTACTTCATCACCAACATAGAAAAACATATGTTTTTTATAACCTTTTCTAGGAACCATATACATTTGCATGAAAACAAGAAACTATAACTAAATAATCAAACCCCCATTTGTTTCCTTTTGCTTTTCTTGTTTTCCCCCTTCGGGTTCCTAGATCTTTGGGACACATCACAGGTTAAGTTAGCCATTGACTTGACATTCGGGTGGAACGTTGGGGTACCTGGCCCTATCTAAGCAATAGTCATACTTCAGAAACTTGTTTCTCACATTTTCGTAAGCTTTTCTTTGATTCGCGTCCAAGTCCCAGAACTTTTGTCCATTCCAGAACAAGTCAGGAGAGTGACATTGTTGAGGGTTGAGAGTTTGAGCCTGGCAGCCATCGATGCCGAACCATTGGTAATTGGCTTGGAAGGGAGCTGAGCTCCAATTCACAGGCTTCCCGTTTGATGCCCAGTCTGCACTCCATATGGTCCCTTCCACTCGCATAGGCTGCGTCGGGTAACCTACACCGGAGTCAGTGATGTTCTTGAACACCCTTAAGGGAGTCTCGTCCACAAAAAGCCTGGAAATTTACCAAAAACTAATCACTGAAGCATTGGTTGGATTCATCAGGAATGGAAATGGGGATGTGTGCTTACACAATTTGATGTTCGTTCCAGAGAATCTTGTATGTATGGAAATCGGCTGTGGGATCAAACCAGAATGAAAACTGCTGTTCTCTCCCTCCTACGCCATTTGTGAAAACATTTGTGTGTAAGAGAAAAATCTCATTTCCACCCAAGAACTCGAAGTCGATTTCGTCATGGATACTTGTAACCGAGATGATCTGCATAACAACAATCCAAATTAACAACTCATATTGATATGAGTTCATGGTTATGATGATACGAATGAGTAGGACAACATCTTACGTAAAAGGTAGCGATGATTCTGGTTGTGTCTTTGTCTGGTAACTTGATTCTCATTTGAAAGAACCCAGAGCCATAACCTGCTTTCGATCCAAACCCAGACCCTGTAATACATATCCAAATGCACTACATCAACATTACAAATCCTTCTAGGATAATCAGACCCTGGTACGAATATCAGATTCGAGTACACATGACATGACCTGAAGTTTGGTCTAAAGTAAGCTGAACTTGTGTATGACCTTCAAAGTACTGGATATGATCACTTCCATATTCAACCATATAATTTTGTTCAAACGGAGCACCCCAAGCAGCATTTGCATGAACAACAAAAACAACAAGAAATGCGAAGAAACCCATCAAGCAATAATCCATTGGAGAAGACATTTTCAAGAGTGTGATCAAAGTGCCTGCAAAATCTCAACACTTTAGGTTGTTGTTCTGGTCATTCGACATGCTACTGGATATATAATCCTATTTAAACACAGAATTTTTTATTTTGATAATGTTATATTCATTTGATTGTTTAATAGAGAACCCATTATCTTTTTTTTTTCTTTGATTCACTAACTTGGTTATCTGGATTTCACATGTCAGCTAGTTTCATTTAATACTCGCTGATGTGCTTAAGTGTTTTTCCACATTCATAATTTAATGTTGCTTACTCAAACAAGGCAGAAAAAGGAAGGATAAAGCCGTTACATAACAGCCAATTATCATTAATTAGGCGTTGGTACATTCATCATGAACATGACTTGTGGCTTACCATAGAATGCATCTTAATTAGCTACTAATATTATTATACACAATTATTCTTTGAATCCCCACCCAAAAGATTTGGAGGTTGATACATGAACTAATCATGAATTTTTTCAATAATTATGAAAATTTTTGAAAAATTAAATAGATAATTTGTTTCTGGACTAAGCATTTATTTGAAAATAAATATACTTAAATAATAAAAAGCCCCCAAAGGATTACACTTTATACGAAAAAAAATCTCTATTGTTTTATTGTGTTCAAAGAAATTCTCATTTTTTGAGGATGTCAATAGGCAAGATAATTACTATACTTTAGAAATTCTCAATTTTTAAGAACGTTGACAGGCAAAATAAATCAAAGTTTAAAATCATTTTTAAAACAATAATAAGTTTTCGTAAGTATTGCATGAATTATAAAAAATTTATAAACAAAAATATATATAAACTAAAACTTAATATTAAAAATTATTATTAATAATCAAGTTAGTGAACTGAGTACTTTAAGATCATTATCCAAACTTATGATAGATAGTAAATTTACTATCTAAATTTAATTATAAAATACTATTCAAACAATGTAAGGTATCCAATTACAAGATACTTTAAGGAAAATGTATGAATCGTGAAATCCATTATAAACTAATACTTTCTCTCTATTCTTATAACATGATTAACTAACTATTAGTGTGAAATTTATATACAATGTGTTATTTATCACATAGTCACGTTATATATTACATGGATAAAAAATATTAACAGATATTAAATTCAACAGTTATTAATATTTAATTAAAATTAAGTGATTATGTTGATATAAATAAAAGCATCTATACTTCTTTAAATATAATGAAAAAAATAAGAGCTTTATTTCTTAAAGTGTAATAGATCATAAAATTTTTTAGCAATATTAAAAATTGAAGCCCATTTTGGCCTGTCGTATAAAACACCCGTCTCAGCCCATCTTGAAATCATATCACGTTCAAGTCACGTGATTGTCGCCACGTCAGCCCGACCATATACTATTTTGTTCTTTTTTTTGTAATTTTATACTATTTTTTTCTTTTTTTTTGATTTTCAATTTACATTCATTTCCCGCTCATTTCCACAGTTCTTTCCTTTCTCTTTCTCTCTCTCCCATTTGACGAATCGCTAAAGCCAAATTTCTCACACTCTAATCCCTTCTCACTCAGTATCTCCCCACCAAAGCTCCCAGCGAATATCCTTCCCAAAATACCCTTCACCGCTCTCTTAATTTTCAGATCGGGACCCTAACCTCATCGACATGAACCATTATCACATGTACGAAGCCATCGGCCGTGGCAAATACTCGGTAATATCCTCTCATTCTCTCAGCTTTCGCGAATTTTTCAAAGCCGATTAAGTTTTATTTTGCTACATTTTGCTTATTTAAGTTCTCAATGTTTTTGTAGAATGTGTATAAAGGAAGGAAGAAGAAGACGATCGAGTATTTCGCAATCAAAAGCGTCGACAAATCACAGCGGAGCAAAGTTCTTCAAGAAGTAACATCTTTTTTTTATAAATTTTTTGGATGATTTGAATGATTAATTATTTTTGAAAATGGAGCTGCTATTGATGCAATTGTAGCTTGTAATTTTACTAGACATGATCTTTATTGAAGTTAGAGCCGTTTCTCTTCTAAATTTTCGGAATTTTTGAGATGATTTAATAATATCGATTTTAATGATTAATTTCTAATTTTCCAAATTAAACTGCTATTTGTGCAATTTTAGTTCTATTTTTACTCTTTTTGCATGAATTTCTTCAGGTTAGGATACTTCACTCTTTAAATGATCCGAATATACTAAAGTTTTACTCATGGTAAGTTTTAGCCAGTTTAGATATTTTACTTGTACAAAGTTTTCAGCATATTTAAATTTTTTCTCAATTTTTTATCTGTTTATCAAGGTACGAAACTTCTGCACATTTGTGGTTAGTTTTGGAATACTGTACCGGCGGAGATCTCATGACCTTATTACGGCAGGTACTTAGTGATCATGTCCTTTTCTTTCTTTTAAGCCTTGAAAGGAACTGTGGAATTTTGTTGGTCTGACTTACTAAGTCAGATTTGAGGATCTTGACTGCTGGTATGCTAGTTTGAGAAACATATTTTGAGTTGCATTATCAATTTTTTATTGATGGGTTGCAGGATGGTCAACTGCCTGAAGATTCAATTCATTTTTTGGCCTATGATCTTGTCAAAGCTTTGCAGTAAGGATATGTTCTTTTCTCTTTATAGTTTACAATTTCCTTATGTAATATGTTTTTTCTTCTGTTTTACTGTCGTTTCGAGTTATTAATGGAAATGTTTTTCATCACCAGATATTTACATTCAAAAGGAATCATTTACTGCGATTTAAAACCATCAAACATCCTTTTGGACGAGAATGGGCATACTAAGGTACATATCTACTATAACTTTCTCATAATATCGAGTTCTATGATCACACTTCCTCTGCAATTGAGTTTCACATTCATATATTTATGTCATGCAGTTATGTGACTTTGCACTAGCAAGAAAGTTGAGTGATATATCTAAAACACCTTCTTCTATGGTAGGTCTTCTAACCATTGTGGCATTCTATGCCTTAAAGTTAAATTGCCAATTTAATCAAGTTCTTTTGATAAAATATTCACTTTCTTTCTTCCTTTTTTAAGTTGTTCATTATTGTGTTTTTTCTGTATGCACTTGTTTAGCTGCCACAAGCAAAACGTGGAACACCCTGTTATATGGCTCCTGAATTGTTTGAGGATGGAGGTGTTCATTCTTATGCATCTGATTTTTGGGCCCTAGGTTGTGTGCTATACGAGTGTTATGCAGGAAAGCCTCCTTTTGTAGGAAGGGAATTCACTCAGCTTGTAAAATCCATCCTCTCGGATCCGACTCCTCCACTCCCAGGAAGTCCAAGCCCTTCTTTTGTCAATCTTGTTAATTCTCTCCTGGTTAAAGATCCAGCGGAGAGAATAAAGTGGTCTGAGCTTTGTGTTCATGCCTTTTGGAGGTCTAAATTTTCTCTAGTACCTTTACCTCCACAGCCTGCTTTTGAAAATATGATAGAGTTATATGCTAAGCCATGTCTCTCAGAGCGTAATGGTGACAGATCTCAAAGCAAGACCCCTCCTAAAAATAGGGAAAAAGATCTAAAAGGGGCTTCAAGAAAGGACGAGAATTCTCTGGTGGGTTTAAGAGGGCATGAGACACCTGTTAAGGGTACACCAATTGGGCGTAAAACTCAAATAAAGACTCCTGGAAAAGGAATGGAGGAGAAGCATAAAGATCATTCCAGTGCTATTAAGCGTGTGAACCTCTTGAGGTTGTCTAGAATAGCCAAAACAAACTTACAGAAGGAGAATGAGAAGGAAAATTACAGAAGGCCCTTGCCAAATAACTCTGAGAATGAATCTGAAGTTAAAATTGAGAACAATGATATGGAACTTGATTTTGATGAGAACACTGAAGAGGAAGGGCAAGATGAACCAGATGGGTCAGATACCCCAACTTGTACGACTGAAGACAAATTTTCAAGTCAGAATCAGCAACAGTTCAAAGTGGAAGAGAGGGATAATAACATTGACCGATCAGATGGTCCAGCTGTGAGTAATTTGCCTGCCTCAGATGACTCAAAAACATATGATCAGGAATCATCTTCATATCAGGTTGAAGCAGCTGCCGCCCCACCCAGTGTCAGTTCACAACACAGAAATCAGAGAATCAAGGAAAGTCCAGGGTATGCCCTTGAGTCTGATTATTCAAAATCATCCAATAATATCTCAGAAGTTCTCTGGCATCCTTCTGATCTTTCTGTAAGACCTGTAATGCCAAGCAGAAAATCTGATAAAATGTCAGAGGTAATTCCTTCACTACCCTTTGAGGCTTTGCAACCATCTGATTTCATAAAGATGGCGAAGGAGCAGTTGGATGCACTCAACAATAGGATCATATCAATATTTGGTGGAAATTCCGGTATTGGTGAGAAGCAAAATGTGATTAGATACCTCGAGATGCTTAGTAATAATGCAGATGCAGCCAATGTCTTGACCAATGGACCGATAATGCTCATGCTTGTCAAAATGTTCAGGCAGTCCAAGACTTCAGCTTTGCGTGTTCAACTTGCTTCACTGATTGGTTTGCTCATTCGGCATTCTACTTTCATTGAAGATGACTTAGCAAATTCTGGAATTTTAGGTGCACTTACTGATGGTCTCAGAGACAGGCAGGAAAAAGTGAGGAGATTTTCTATGGCTGCTTTAGGGGAATTACTGTTCTATATTTCCACTCAGAACGAGCATGCAAGAGATAATAATCCGCCTGAATCTCCATCAAAAGACAACAGGCCTGTATCTGGCTGGCAGGTTAGTTTCTTATGCCCTTGCTAAAGTTTTGAAGTTTTGAATCAAATGCTTAAAGAGAACTGTGGCTTGTGCAATAGCCTTTTGCCCGTCTTGTTTTCTCTCTCATTTGATTTTCATTTATTTTCAATTATTTGTAAGGAGTTTCCTTCCCTTTTGGACAGGTTCAAAATTCATTGATTTCATTGGTGTCATCAGTTTTACGCAAAGGAGAGGATGATATGACTCAACTTTACGCACTTAGGACAATTGAAAATATTTGCAGCCAAGGAGGACATTGGGCCACTCGTTTCACCAGCCAGGATGTGATCAGTAACCTGTGTTACATTTATAGGGCTGCAGGGAAGCAGGAGAGCATGAGGCTAACTGCAGGATCTTGTTTGGTTCGCCTCGTTCGTTTCAGTCCCCATTGCATTCAATCAGTTATAGACAAACTTTCACTCAAGGATATCGCATCTGCTCTTATCAAGGGCAATCTGCGTGAACAGCAAATCAGCTTAAATATTCTAAATATGGCTATGCTTGGAAGCCATATGTTCACAAATATTGGACGGTACCTTCTACCATTGGTGGAGGACAAGAATCTGGTGCCTAGTCTTGCGTCTCTTATTGAGCAAGGAAGTGAAGTTTTGCGGGGCAAAGCACTTGTTTTTGTGGCTCTTCTTTGTAAGAACGGTAGGAGGTGGTTACCACAATTCTTTTGCAACGCAAGGTTACTCCCCACAGTGGACAGATTGGCAAAAGAGAAGGATAACTATCTACAGCAGTGTCTAGATTCATTTCTTCATGTTGTGGCATCTACAGTGCCTGCCTTACTGGATGGTATAACTGGAGATATTCAGCAAATGATGGGAGGAAGGCGACATGGGCAGATCTCTGCCCTTACCAGTCGTGCTGCTCCCAAGAACAATATTCATTTGTTTCCTGTCATTCTTCATCTTCTTGGGAGCTCATCTTTCAGAAACAGAGTGGTCACTCATCAGGTCTTGCGGCAGTTGGCAAACCTTATCCAAGTTGTGGAGACACCGTTTCAAGTAAGTAGTTGCATCTAAGCCATCTTTTGTTGTGTATCATCTCTGATTTATATATATTTTTTAATAATTGAGAAAAAAGGATTTAAATTTTATTTTTTAAATAAAAAATAATATATTAATTAATAAATCAAATACTCAACTGTGTTTCTGATTTATATTTTGACAACATATCTACATTTTTCTTTATTCAGTCAAGATATAGTTTATGTCAGCGACCAGAAAGTATCTAAAAAAAGTTGGGCTAGTTCTCCGAGTTGACTGTGACTTTGAATGACATGTCACTATGCCAGATGCCTAAGTACCGTGCCTTGGCTAACATGAAAAAGGAAAAAAAGAAGGGTAATGGGTTGGAAAAATGTCTGTTGCAAGCAGTATTCAATGCCCGTACTGCAAACGTTGTGTGAAATTTTTTGTAAAGATAGGCCTCTAAAAGATTATGCAATTGATATATTTCGCTAGAAGTTTGTACCCAGCTGTTTCAACAGTGAAATGCTTTTGTTACCTTGTTTGTTAATTGCTTCAATTTCTTGGCCCGATAATTGACTTCTTACCATTTTGAGGTGGACAGAATGGGTTCTGTGCTCTCTTTTGCCAAAAAATGTAAGATAAATAATCCTCACAAATACTGATACAGGCTATCTTTTTGATTGACCAGGGGCGGGACGATTTCCAAATAACATTGTTACGAATTCTGGAATCTATCCCTGAAGAGTCTCCAGTAATTCTTGAAAGCCCAAATGATTTTATCCGTGGAATTCTCCCTAGCCTTGCTGTTCTTTACAAGGGCAACAAAGATGGTAATGCCAGATTTTTGTGCCTGAAAATTATGTTTGATGTGATGGTCATCTTCTTGAATGAACCTTCATTAAACGATCAAAGGTCAGAGGATCTGAAATTGATATCTAATTCTCATTTTCTTCCTCTTTACCCCGCCTTGATTGAAGATGAAGATCCCATTCCCATGTATGCACAGAAGCTTCTAGTGATGCTCATTGAGTTTGATTATATTAAAATCTCTGACATTTTAGATCTGAAAATGGTCTCAAAATGTTTTGAATTTTTGCTTGGCGATCTGACAAATGCAAATGTAAACAATGTCAAACTGTGTCTGGCTTTGGCATCTGCTCCAGAGATGGATTTCAAGTTACTTTCGCAGCTCAAGGTAGTTAGGAAGATTGGAAATCTTTTGGAGTTTGTATACGCGAAGGATATGGAAGATTTTCTTGAGCCAACCCTTTGCTTGTGTAGGGCTTTTCTTCTGCGCTCTGTAGGCAGTAGAAAAGATTTTGTTTATACCAAAGAACCCACACTTTTAGGTGATGGTTCTTCTGAGTCAACGGGTCCAGTTGATCAGCAGCAATACATAAGAGATATAATGGATTTTGGCAGCAATGTTGGAGTGTTGCTAGAGTTAAGTGCATCTCGTGAAGCAAGCGTTGCAGACATAGCCTCGGAATGTGTTGTATTGTTGCTCAAGGCAGCTCCAAGGGAAGCCACAACTGGATTCCTAACTAATCTTCCAAAGGCAGGTTCAATCCTGGAGGCCTGGCGCAAGGGCATCTCTCACTTGCTCTTGCAGCGGATACTTCATGCTGTTGGTTATTCCTGTAGACAGTACCTGTCACATGCCATGATACTATCCATTTCTAAACCTGAAATTACACGTATTGAAGGCATCGTTGCTGAGCTGAAAAGCTCAAGTATACCTGGATTAGCCAATGTTGCTTCGCTTGTAATCTCGGAATTGCAGCGGCTGCCACGTTGCATCTAAAGTTCTTGAGGTTGACCGACTTTCCTTCTTTATTTTTTTTCTCGTTTACTTTCATAGATTAGTAGATTCTCAGATTTACTTATGTGCTCTTGTTACAGGCATTGTGGAGTAACTGATTTTTTCAAAAGGACAAGCTCAACATGTTTATGGGGTTCTGGACTCGGGTGGTCAAAATGAACCATGTTTGAGGTGAGTTATATTTTATTATTCAGTACTCCTCCGGGCCTGTAACTATAAAATCCATGTATACTCCGTATCATCCTTGATATATTCAATTTAAGCCTTTTTCTTTCTTTCGAGAATTTTCTTGAAAGCAACTGCTGTACATTTATGCATTTCCTTTCGTTATTTGTCAATCTTTATTTAGTTGATGCAAGTTTGATACAAAGAGGGACGGACCAATTCTATTGTCTAACCTTAGGCCTATATTTCTTTGTTCAGAGCACACCCAAACCTGCCCTTTTACATCAGAATTCAGTTTCCAAAACTTGTTACTAGAATAGTTTACACTACCAGAGCAAATTAGGTTTGTTGCGCTGTTCAACAGTGCCACGCATTTTGTTTGTGGGACACTGCCCCCTCCAACCTGTACTCATACACTACGAAATGAATTTTAACAACTGCCCCATCTCATTTGGTTCTTCAAAGAACGTCAGGATAATTAAATTCTTTTTGTTGAAAAATTAATAGTACTTACTTAGAATCCATGAATTCCTCCAGCTAATATAATCTACCTGTTCCTCATGTGGACTAGGAAGGAACAGTAAGCTAACAGATATTCTTTGCCATCGAACTTGGTAATTAAAAGATTTTTCTCTTTTTATTTTTGTTGGAATGGGGGGAGGGGAGGGTGGTTAGAAATCAAAAGTTCTCTTAAATCAGTTTGGTGGATGACAGTTCGCTTCAACTGCCTTGAGCATCAGAAATTTAGTTTGATCCAGAGTTTGTTTCTCTTAGTTACATTAAAAGTCGAAAAACGAAAAACCAGACGTCCTTTCACTTCCACTCACGTAAACGAGAGGTTTGTTCATGTTTCTAGCCTATTGTCTTCTCTTCGGTTAAACTTAAACCCCGCAATTTCCGGGAACTTAACTTTTTCTGTGGAAAACCAACTTGTTTTTCTCTATTTACATCTTTGCCCCCAAAATATTCTTGCTTAATCTTTCCTCAAAGTAGAAATCCCATCTAAATAAGAACTTGAGGTTCCTTCCAGGTTTTGGTAAAACTTACTCCATCAAACATAACAAACAAGAAAAAAATTAAACACAGTAGATTGAGTTGAGATTGATTAACCGAAAAATAGGGCATTTGGCCAAATTCACGGGGTGTGAAGGAATCATCAGCTAACAAACACATCACAACAAAACTTCACTAATCTTTTGTCTCTTTTTTCTACACTGCCAACCTGTATTTTCTCATCACTGGCCCATTGTGGTTTGCCATGTGGCAGTTGGCCCCACTGAGATCCCCCATGGTCATACCTTTATAAGGGACTCCATGATCACTCCTACCTAAAGGCTCACACCCTTTCTCCACTTCCTTTTGCTTTTTTGCTTTGCTTTTCTTTTCTTTTCTTTTCTTTTTTCACTAGAAAGATTGATCATTACCAGATATATATAACGTTTAGGCTCTCCAATAAGTGTGACATTGATTTGTTTATCATTAGAATGGCCTCCTTTTGGTTTCTCTTACTACACATCATGTTTTTCATGGCCACACCTTTGCTATCTTTAGCTTCTTCTCAGCTGAGTTCAGATATTCCTACTGTCTCAGCTTCACCAGTATCTATGTCAGATCCTCCCCTGTCCCCTTTCCAAGAATTATCACCCGACATTGCTCCCTTATTCCCATCTCCAGGTGGAGTGGTTCCTACCACCGGCTCCTCCATGCCCACCATTCCTTCCAGTCCAAGCCCGCCGAATCCCGATGACTTGATGTCGGCGGGTCCCGACTCTGCAGCATTTCCTCCATTCGGATCATTGCCGGGTTTCTCCACTTCTCATAGGATTTCAGTTGGGTCTTTAAACTTAGCAGCTTTTCCAGTTGTGGTAGCTTATTGCTTAATTCAGCACTTTAGAGTACTGTAAATTTATATTTGTTGGTTAGAAGAAAACTCTATTTACTGTTGTAGGTTCCAGCGCCAGGTTATACCCTCTGCTCATCTTCTTCATTTCTCTTGTTTCACCTGGCGCAGTACATGATCATAATGTATCTAGCTAGTTACTCCTTAATACGGTTGTTTGCTTTTGCAGCTCCTCTTAAGGAGTTGTATTAATTGAAATAAACATGGAGTTGTTGTCCGCACAGAAGTTGCATTTGATGTAATTTTGTGAACTAGTTTGACAATCTGATTGAAAAGCATCTGTTCTTCACAAATTGAAGCCTTCATGGCTTCTTTTAGATCCTTAATGACTTTGGGGCTTTTCCCCTGCTTCAAATGGCTGATGAACAAATAAGGTGGCACATGGTATTTGTGTCTGCAAAAAAAAACTATGCGGGCATGTGAAACACACCAAAACGACCAGAATTTTGGTGTCTCTTTGATTATTGAAGAATCCAATCACATGTTGGTTGATCATGAGTAATATAATACTGGGTTTTAGGTGAACCTGTTTTGTCTCTTCTGACTGCCATCTTCCCTATGAGGTCTTTTTCTTTCTTTTTCCCCTTTCTACTTTAGAAGTCCCATGCTGCACTCAGACACCACCTTCTCTGCTTTACCATCAACTCATTTCCTTCTGTTCAAGGAAATGGTAAAAGGGCAAAAAGAATTAAAAAGGAAAGAGGAGATGAGAAGCAAATAAGCTTCAATGTTTGTACCACAATTTTACTAACTACCTCTTATTCCTTTTGCCTAATCCAACTTTGGGTTCTAAATTTTAAATTTTAAACTTTAATTTCTTTTGTTTTTTTGCATGCATAAAAATGATTACTAGTACTAGGTAATGGTCCATATGTAACATAATTACGAGGTTGTCGTTTCTTACCTCATAGCTTAATCCCTTTTCTAGAAATTTGAAAATGAAATTTCTAATTTGAAGTTTAAATCCAAAATGATTAAAATGTCTCCCTCAAAACTCTTTCTTCTTAAGCAAGCAATACCGTCCAAGATCATCAGCTTGTACCTAGATGAAATTTTATTTACCAAAAGACAAAAATATTCTTTTGATACAAGTGGCGGAGGGTATTTAATTGTTAATTTCGAAAACAAATTAAATTTAAAATAAATTTTATGTATGTTATTAATGAAAATTAAACTCCGTATTTAAAATAAATTAATAAATTTAAATATTAAAAATTATAATTTAGAAATAAATTTAAATAATAAATAATACTTTAAATCACTTTCAGAACTCCCGCCACTGTCCTACCTTTGGAAATGGCTATGGGGGGAACTACCATTTCATTTCTTCTTTTAAGTTCACAAATCGTTCCTTTATCAAATGAAATCTGCAGGAAAACAACTGGCTTCTAATCGTCCTATGTGAATCATGGCGAGTCATGCAGGAAGTGATTTAAAATCCAACCATCCACATGAAAATATGGCCGAACAGTATGCACTCTGGCCAGACTAACTTTACTTTTATCCTTGGCTGACTTTGAGAAAACTTTTGTGTCGAATTTCTAACGTTTTCTTTCTCAAGATCATGATAATGAGGGGAACAAAATGGAAATCATTTAGATGACAGGTTGTTTCTCCGGATTCAAAAGGTACCTTTTTCAAACAATCAAACATTGCAGCAGGGGAAAAAAAATTGACTTAAAAGTAAATGATCTTTCTCTACTGTACTAAGCAGTTTCAGAGTTGGATCATCACCAAATGTTTGTTTATTGGAGCTTGGAAAGGATCCCCACGTGCTCCAAGTTACCTCTTCATGTCAATTAAGCAGGGTTACAGCGTTGGATTAAGCAATGTTTTTATTGTTTGTTCCCTTTCTTCTTCTTAGGTTGGGAGGTGAATTCGCACTGAAATCCAACCCAACATGAAAAGGGAGAAGAAAGGGTGTGGCCTGCTCACAGATTTCGGATCAAGTCGGGTTTTCTCGGGTTATCATCCTAAGCCAAACCCCATTTACCTCTGTGAAAATAAGCAATGCAAGTAAAGCAGTAAGCAGCATAATTTATAGATTTTTCCAGGTGGAAACATGCTCTATGGCCTTGAGCAGTGTATTTTATGATAACATAATGAAACAAATGCCTGAGGACAACAGGGAAATGAGACATTAGAGTTCTACATAAGCTGTAAGGATAAAGATGAACAGCCAAACTTGGGGTGGATTCATCAGGTAAGATACTCTTAGGTTATAAACGTTCTACAAGCAACAAAACAAAGCCGACGGTATGCCAAATTGCCAACAAAGGAGGGGCAAAAAAAGGGGTTCACAAGTGACTTGTCTTGGGCTGTTTGCAATTTAAGCACAGTTCTTATCCATGAGCTTCTCAATCAGGTCAGCTGCATCCTGAACGGTGCTAATACTCTGGGCGCTTTCTTCTTCCACACTGATTCCGAACTCCTCCTCGAGTCCCATCACAATCTCCACCTGAAACACGAGAAATCAGAAGTATGGGATGTCAATATTTTATTCGAATCAAAACCTACTCATACACACGATATAAAAACAGAATAAAGGACAGATCAGTCCATAGTCAAAGAGAGATTTTTCATTATAGAACAATATCACAAGAAGAATTTGACACAAACGTCCATACTTAGAATACTATGACATAACTTGTGAATATGTTATCCACCAAGAACCAGATAAATAACCCACATAAAACTAATTCCAAATGTTAAAACATAAAGGTTAAGAATCACAGGCAAAAAACTGATTATTACTACATCCTAACGAGCTAGGAAAGTTAAAACAGGACAGATATTTGGTTACCGTGTCAAGGGAATCAGCTCCAAGCGCAGAAAACTTTGACTCCCCGGTGATGGAAGAATCATCAGGTAGTGCCAGTTGTTTCCTCACTATTTCACAAACTTTGTTCACTGTCTCTGGTTTTGCCTGAACGTGTTAATATCCCATAGCTGGTTAAGCACATTTGTCATATGATGGGGGAAATCAGAGATGCATGTAAAGGCTTCATATCACTACAAATGCAAGCAGACAAATGCAGAATGTACTTAACATGCTAAACTAGTCAAGATTATATAAAGAAGATTGCATCTCTTCATATTGATAAATGTTCCTAGAAACATCTCTGTCATGGGCCATGCAGCCATGGTTAATGGTCCTTTCATCTGCACGTTTCACATATGAACGTATTTTGAGTTTAGATTTGTCTCAATGATCTTATTGTGGGCTCTCTTTGTTGGCACTAAATGTAACTGCATAGCTAAATGTATACCCCGTTTGATGCAGGGAGGAGAACCAAGATCCAAATATTCAAGTAAAAAACCACACAGCAGATGAAAAGAAAAACATACCGCGCAGGAAACGCGGAAGCGCAATGACCTTGGTCGCATTCCAAGAGATGGGAAGCTGACTGAGTTGACATGGGCGACCCCACGAAGAGGTACCTGCTCAAACATTCAATCAAAGAATTGAATAAATCCATTAAACACTCCGTATGAAGGCATAACATCCAGCCAGAACCAGTAAGTCATATGATACAAGAAAGACAGAACATGAAAACAGATGCGATTGCATGTTTGACAGGGAATCACATTGAACCACCTTCAAAAACACATTAAAAAAGAACGTAGTAGTCTTTAGATCTCAAATCCAACCTTACCAAAGCCAAGTTGAGATCTTGAAATATGCTTTTTTGAGCTTAGACTTGGGTGTCTTTACACAAAGCAGCAGATTGACAATAAGGTCGATTGAGTTAGTTGGAGAAGAAAGCTAAGACAACTGTCATTTAAATGATAAAACAATCATGCAAAAACTGATCCATAGCATGAAGCTCTATTGTTTGAAATCTCAAGAAGCCTTTAGAGTCTATAACTTTATTAGAAAATTCAAGCAACAAAAGATCAAAGATGGTATCTTTCAACCGTTCACATGATTGCATTCGTTAGCATATTTAAATTTCACCATCAAATCCCAAAACCCATCAAGGAAAATCAACTCAAAAATCAAACCAAATCAAGTCAAACCCACCACAAACTCTGTTACACTGCCTAAAACAGAAAAGAAAGAGACGAAAAACAGAGCACCAACATCAACGTTTTTAACCAAACCCAACTTAAAACCGTAAGAGAAAAAAAAGCCCCAATAAGCAAAAGACAACAATCAGAAGACAAAAACCAGATCCTAAAACAACACAACATAAAAAAGGATCAAGATAGGAAAGTAACCGGTGTCTGCTTGAAAGAAGACGAAAGGGAAGTGAATTTCAATGAAGCACCAGTTGTAGAAGCCATTAGAATCAATTTCGATAGATTCAAGGAAAGAGGGAGAGAGATCTGAGAAACAAAAAAAAAACACAGAGAAATAGAAAGACAGAAGGGGCGAAGATCACGAAGAGAGGAGGAGAACGAGGAGAGCGTGTGTTTGTTTTAAACAATAGAAGACCACGACGTTTTTATAGATGCTGTGTTGTTCACTTCTTAGTGTTTGGTTGCTGGGATTTGTTGACAGTTGCCAGTTTTTCTCTCTTTCCTTGTTTTCATCGAAAAATAAAAATAAAAATAAAAATAAAATAAAACGTTTCGCCCACGAGTCCCCATTTTTTTTATTTATTTAATTTTTTAAAAAGAGAAATTAACATTTATTTGCTAGGAAAAATCATTCAAGTATTTTTTATTTGGTATCTTATAATATCTTAATATGTCGTCGTGTGAATAACTACATGAATAATTATAAAAATTATTTATTAATAATATAAAATAATACCACAAATCAAATTTAATTGAAAACATCCACCTTTCCAATGTAATAATAATTACTATTTCTTTCTCTTTTCATTGTTTTCATCGAAAAAGCTTTTGGGACATTAATGTCCACGAGTTCTTTTTCTTATTTCCATTTTTTCCTTATATTTTTAAGAAAATAGCAATTATTGTGAGGCAAAATGATTTAAGTACTTTTAATTTGGTAATTAAATGGATAGTACAATGCACACTCATGCGAATATCATTATTAAAATAATTATATAAATTATTTAATTAAGATTATAATATAATATTATTATCTAATTAGATTATAATATTTAATTAAGAGTTATATTACAATACATATATCATTTAATTCTACAACAATATAGTTTTTTTATAATACAAAATTTCGATTTATCATTAAAGTTAAGGTTGCTAAATTTTTTTTTCTGAATTTTGATTGTTCGATGGATTGAAATGAACTAATGCTACAAATTGAATTATAATTTCAAGATTTTAGGAGAGAATTTAAATAAAAATATTTTATTAAATTAAATTTGAATCGTTAATGTTATTTTGATGTAGAATAAAAAAATAATTTCAAGGAATATTTAAATATTTTTTAAAAGTAAAGTATATAAATTTTTTAATATATATTTTTATAAATTTAAATTAATAAAACGAGTTTGTTCACGCATTGAGGGCATAATATATGCCGATGATGAGAAGAACACTGGCCTTGACCCACGCGATTGAGTTGAGAGCAATTGGCTGGCAAAAGTTGGTCGGGCAAAGCCTAAAAACATGTATTGCACGTTTTGCATTTAGGCGTTTAGATAGCTACACGCAACTAAACACGTTGTCTCAAATCATGAACCATCGTCTTTGCTTTGGAATTAATTTTAAAACACCATTAATTAATTAAATTAAATAGATTGAACAGCCATAATTTAATAGATTATGTTCAGTTTTCTTTTATTATAATAGATTATGTTTGATTTCTTTAATTTTTTTAATTTATCTTAGTTACTTCTCTTTTTCAATTTTTTATTTTTCACTTTAATTTAACCGGTCAATTTTTTTTCTCTCTCAACATTCTCATAACCTTTTTATAATGTTAAGTATTTGTCTACAATTTTAAAAAAAGAATTTGAATTTAATTTTTTAAGTCGGATGCATATATATATATATATATATAGTTATTATTAAATTAAATATTCAAATATATGTAAGACTATTTATAAAAGTCTCTAATTGTGATTGAAACCCATTCTTGGTTATGAGAAAGTTAGTAATTAGGTGAACAAATAATGGGGTTAAACCATCACTTAGACCATTTTTTTTTTTTGTGAAATCTTATAATCTTATGATACACACCATGAAAGCCTTTCTCTTCAATGTCCCAACCCCCAACTTGCTAAATTGATTAGATTGCCTATCAAAATTTGTATACCTTTTTGTCAGATAGCCTAACTTATCCTCCTTTGATTATTGTATAATAATAATAATAATAATAATAAAAATAATTACAATCAATTATAAATAACTAAATTAAAAAAAAAGGGTAACCCAAACTCAGCATACTCTTTGCCCCATGCATAAAATTTTATTTCCTTTTTGCATTTTTTGTGGGTTGAAAAGTTTTTCTTTTATGTCATTATTATTCAACTCCGAAGGCAAAATTGACCCCAAAAAAGCCATATTTTTTTTTGTCTTTTAATTATCTTTTATACTTTTTTTTTTATTTGTTTTCTTTTATGGAGAACATGATGGAAAAAGTACTTGTAAAGGAAAATTCATTTTATTTTGACCTTTTGACCTTTTCACTTTCGGTGAGTGTTATTTGATGGTTTTCTTTTTCTTTCCTTCCTTCCCACCCTCCAAGCTTTGTAGTGGGTGAAAAAGGCCGGTTCAAATTTTAAAAAGCTGTGCACGTGATTGGCCCATGCTTGGCTCGATTAGCCAGCTTGTCGAAATGGCTCGGGTCGTGGCTACTGTCTTACGGCCCACATTCTGATCAAAATGGGCCTAGCAATATGTATTAAATGCAAAAGTAAGGAAAAAATTAATTGAAAAATTGTGCACAAAAAGCCAATTACTACTATACATTCACACATAAAAAAAATTAATCTTATAATATAAATTACAATTCAATTACATTTTATGAAAATAATAGTACTTGCTTGTATATTTAAAAATAAAAAAAAAAAGGTTGAAAAAGGGCAAAGCCGGCTAAAGGTTAAAGCTGAAGCTGTTAGTTGAAAAGGACGAAAGTGAAGCGAAAAGAATGGGAAGGGAGAGCTGGTACAACCGCTACTAGGAGGGAAAGAACAAAGCACAGAAGAGAGAAAGACAGACCCACCCACGTAACCAACGCTACATTCTCCAATGCAAACTAAAAACAAAGGCATAACCTTTCTTTGCTTTCACTCTCTCTCTCTCTCTCTCTCTCTCTCTCTCTCTTTCATTTGCTGTGCTTCAAGCTTTTTTTAGATCACCAACTGCATCTCAATCTTCCTCCTCCATTTCCATCTCCAGAATAATGTAAAGTTAAGCTTTGAAAACTTCTTAGCTTTAGGAAGATCAAGGCTTTAACGTTTGGGTTTTTGTTGTCATCTTTGCAGAGGCCATGGCTGCAGAGCTTTTGGAAATTCACCCTCAAGAGCTCAAATTTACTTGTAAGTTTCCTTTCTTTTCTTAAATTTTACTTCAGAAAAGTTGGTACGAGGTTTTTATGCAGGAGTCTGTTTGATTCATTCTTTTCATTTTCTCTTACTGAAGTTGAATTGAAGAAGCAGAGTTCATGCTTAATCCAACTAACCAACAAGACTGATCAATATGTAGCCTTTAAGGTAGGTACCCTTTCGTTGGATTACTTTAAAAAATATATATATCCAATTTTAATTTCTGGGTCTTTTTGTTTTCCCATTTTCTGATCTGCTTTGAATTGAATTCTCGACTAAGATTCATTCAACTACAATTGATTTCAGGTGAAGACTACTTCTCCTAAGAAGTACTGTGTCAGGCCCAACACTGGCATTGTTAAGCCCAAATCAACATCTGATCTCGCAGGTACATTAATTGTAAAGTTTGTAATCTGTTGTTCTTAAAGTTATATGGAATCAGGCCATGCTTGACACAGCGGTTTAATCATTAATGTTTCGATTCTGGTACATTTATTTTGTTACTATTTAATTCTAGCCAATTTTTAAGCTGGTTTGTTTGTGATCGATGGGTGTTGGTTGGTTGCTATAGTTTTAGATTGAGTGGCTCTTTTTGAGACTAAATTAGTTTGAAATTATAAGGTTTAGTTGAGATGTCCTTCTACTTATGTGTTCCCTAACATTTTTAATGAAATTAATTGTGTTTGTGTAAGTTATGGGTTTGTTGTGGAGTGTATGTAAATAGGTTATTACCATATCTAATATGGTTTCAACTAAGATAGGATGCCAAGCCAAAATAATAGCAATTATTATCAAATAGCTGTTTAGTTAACTGCTTACAACTATAAGTCTATATCAGATACAATGATTTTGACCTCTTTTGACTGGTGTAGTTACTATGCAAGCTCAGCGTGTTGCTCCACCTGACTTGATGTGCAAAGATAAGTTCCTGATTCAAAGTACAATAGTTCCTTTTGGGACAGCTGAGGAAGATATTACATCTGACATGGTAAGAATTTGCTGATGCAATGGCTGTTCTTCTTGTTCCTGTGATTTCTTATTGTTTCCTATTGGCAGTTTTCTAAAGACAGTGGCAAACACATTGACGAGAAGAAGCTAAAAGTATTCCTTACAAGCCCACTACAGTCACCTGTTTTGGCTCCAATTAATGGAGAGTTGAAGCAAGATTCAGGTCATGAAACTTCATCCCCAAAAGATAGAGCATCAAGTGGAGTTGAAAACATACCTCCACCTCAGAGTGTAAGTGCATTTTCATGTTGTAGCTGTTTCTATCTTTATATATTAAATTGCCCTTCTAGCTAGGTATACCAGTTGTGATAAGGACCTTTTCTCTTGTGCCAGGTAGCTGAGGATGTGGTGGGGTTTGGGACTTCTAAGGATGCAGTTGAGTTAATAACAACTAAGGATGTTCAAAGGTTTGATACTTCCAAGGATGACGCAGCTGAGCTAAGAGCAGCTGATGGTGTGCAGTCAAGTCCTGCGAAGGATGTGGAGGAACCGAAACCTGCAAAAGGCATGGTGGAATTAAAGTTGGCTGATGATTTTGAGGAGTTAAAGTCAAAGCTACGTTTTATGGATTCAAAGCTTAAAGAGGTTGGTTTTTGTTTTTTCATCTTGGATTTAAGTTTGTAAAATGATACTGTTTTGTCTACAGAGGAAGTATTTCAGGGTTTATGGATGCTCTTTGAAAGGACTGATTGAAAACATACCTGAAATAATTTCTTATGCATCATCTTTGCTCGGGAGTTGGACTGAAGAACAGACTTGTAAAAGGCTATATTTTCTAATTTAGAGTAGGTTTTTATGTTAACCTTGTACTTTGGTTTTTAAAATGACTTCTTCTTCCTCAGAGTTTTTCAATTTCTTTGGGGGTGGTGTAAGGGAGGGGGATTCATTTAGTTTTATGAAGGATTAATAAGGCTATTATGCATGATTATGATCTTATTTCTCAGTTGAAAAATGACAACTAAACTTTGGTGTGTTTTCAAGACTGAGTACCTTAATTTTACATGGAATTCATCTCTAGGCTGAGCATAGCATCATGAAGCTGACAGAAGAGAGAAGCATAGCTACTCGAGAGAAGGACAAGCTTAAAGGGGAACTAGTGAGTGACATTTCTGTTGCCTTTTCAACTGCATTTCTTATTGTTGTTTTCATCATTTTATATAAACTTCCGGCAAAAAGCTCTCAACTGTCACTAGCCTTTCAAATTGACACACGAAGCACGCAGTGAGAGAAAGTTGCTACAAGATAAATTTATCTAACCAGCAGAAATAGTCTTGAAAACAAAATCATGGAACATTATTAGTTTGACTTTTAATGTTAAATCAAGGAGGAAGGGTTGGTTCTTTTCTTAGTGAACAGTTACAAGGGGAGCATCCTGAATTCTGCAGTTAGCCACTCAGTTCACAAGTTACTGTTTTTCTTAACTCTATTCGACTTTATGATATTTATTTTTCCTGTTCGTAGGAATTGTTGAAGAGGAAGTCTGATGTCAGACCAATTCGGGTGGGATTTCCCTTCCTCTATGTTTGTATGGTGGCTCTCGTCAGCCTGGCCGTTGGATACTTTAGCCATCTCTAGGAGAGAGTTTCTTCGCATTAAACTGGATTTCTTGGGGAGAGAGAACAAATGAATTATATTGTGATTATTGTTTATGGAGGATCCTGTTATCTTGGTTAATATGAAGTTGTAACGCCAAAAGTTTAGCCATTTTGTATGTTGTATGCAAGTAGGAACCTCTCATTGTTTTGTAAGTAAATTGAACAAATTTTATGTACGAGAATAAAGTTAGCAATAGGGAGTTGATTGTATGGAAGCCTATGTCTTGCATAGAACAGCTCAATTTACTGAGAATGTTAGAGAGGGACTGTTGTGAGACATTTTATCAACCTACATTAATCCTAAGTTACATCTTAAAACATAATGTAAAATATAAAGAATATATTCACTCCTCGAGAACTTGAAAAACAATCTCTTATTCTCATGAGGTTTAACTGAAAATACACTTACTTGCCAAAAAACAACGGTTTTATCTCAGAAAAGATATTAGTATTGGTTACTGAAGTTAACTTAAAATGGAAATATAACAAACGTTTTATTATTTATTTATTTATTACATATATTCAATAATTTATCAAAAACAAATCCTCTCAACAAGAATTTATGAGTTTAAAATATAAATCACTAATTAGATTACAATGGCAATTAGTTACAGTTAGAATATGAATTGGATTAGGTTTAACTTTTATATATACATATACTTTTATCTGTTTAATACATAAAATTCTTCTTCTCGTAACACCTCAATTCCCAATATTTCATCGTCCAAAAGGATGGCCGCGGTAGTGTGCGGGAGTAAGAGATCGTTCTTTGAGGATACCTCGTCCCCATCAGCTTCCGTCTCTAAGAAGCTCCGGCGTTGCTCACCTTCATCTCCTTCGTCTGCTCGTTTCTCTTCGCCACCGTCTTCTCTCGCTCACCTTGAAGCCCTTTTCCCTCACATGGACCCCGAGCTTCTGGAGAGAGCACTGCTAGAATGCGGCAACGATGTAGACATTGCCATCAAGAGGCTGCAGGAACTTTGCTTGGGAGCCACAAAGGCTACGGGGGAAAAGTCAGGTCCAGTTGAAGAAGAAGGCACAACTGCAGAGATGGGAACATTGACCAATGATGGGGAAGCTGCTGCAACTGCTGCTACTGTGGCTGCTCAGAATCCAGCAGCCCCAGAGAATGTGCCTGTTGATGGTGCAGAATGGGTGGACTTGTTTTTGAGGGAGATGACGAGTTGTTCCAGTATGGCTGATGCCAAAGCCCGTGCCTCTAGGCTTTTGGAGGTTGTGGAGAAGTCCATAAGTAGATCGGCAGCACAAAGTCTTGAGAAAGAAAATATCATGTTAAAAGAAGAAAATACAGTCCTCAAACGAGCGGTGGTAATCCAGCATGAGCGTCAGAAGGAGTATCAAGACAAAATACATGAATTGCAACATCTGAGACACCAACTGTCTCAGTATCAGGAGCGGCTGCGACTTTTAGAGATAAATAACTATGCCTTAACCATGCATTTGAGACAGGCACAGCAAAATAGCTCCATTCCAGGGCGTTTCCATCCAGACGTCTTCTAACATAATACAAGTTTCTATTAAATTAATAATTGTTGATTTAGCTTCGCTGGATGTACAGCAAACTCCAATAATGAAATATAGTTTTGTGACTGATTTAGGTTGTATTGCTTGTTCAAATCTTATACCTGATCATAAGCAAGTGCCATTGAAAATGCCTCACCTGCAAAACATTTCAGGCCCACTAGAAGCACAAGTCAGAATGGTTTGAAACTCATCCTTGCAGTTCGAACCCATCCCATGTTAGATATTAAAACGTGAGACTTTCTTGAGGTTTAGTTGAAAATACACCCTTTTGATCTTAATAATTTGAAAAATACCTTTTTACTCTCCAAATATTGATATCAATTACTCAAGTTAATTTAAAATGAGAAGACAAATAAAGCTTTTGTTATTTCTTTATTTATTTTTTTCTCTTTTATTTTACCCAAGCCTTTTTTTTTAACAACAAAATTATGAGATTTAGTTGCTCGTGAGATTTAATTAATTTTTAAAATCATCTTCAATAAAAAAAGAATAAAATAAAGCAAACTTTGAACAAATAGCAGTTTCACTAATGAAATCTTAAAATTAATTATTTTTTCAAGAGAGTTAAATAATGTTTTTCAAACTAATATCGGAAGTAAATATATTTTCAATAAAACCTCCTAAATGACACATCGTTTCTTTTCTGTTTCAATTACCAAACATTTCTCATATAATAAATTTGTAAATTTACAAATGTTAAAATAAATATTATGACAAAAAAATTATGAAAAAGAGGTTATCTTTATCATAAAATAAATACAAAGTAACTAATTTCTCAACAAAATTTATTAAATAAATTCAAAAAAACGAAAAAAACTTAAAAAATTTCTGTTTTATTCGATTTAATCAACTAAAAGTTAATTTTTAAAGAGATCAATTAATTGATTAATGGTATTTCTTGATTAAATTAACAGTTTTAAGTCAAATGCTCACTTTTAATCTTTAATTAGTGATTGTTGATGACAAGGTTTTGAAACATCTAAAAACCCATGAGATGGTATCCAAATAAGAGAGAATTAAATTGAACTCTTCATGATGGACGGTTGAAACATGTTAGCTTCAATGGTACTTAAGCAACTGCATTTATATATGGATATCAACAAATCTAAATCAGTGAGAGGCGTTGACCGCCATGACATAATGGTACTTGTTAAATCCTTAATAGCTCTGACACCATAAAAGATAAAATTAATATCTATTGTATTCCAATGAATGATTTGTTTAGTAAATGTTCAGATGCTGGGTTTATTTTATTTTCTTTCTTTAATTTATTCGTAGAGTTGACATCTTGTATATTTCTAAGATATTAATTCATAAAGTATATGTACAGCCATTTTGTATGCTGTATGCAAGTAAGAACCTCTCATTGTTTTGTAATTGAATTGAACAAATCTTATGTACGAGAATAAAGTTAGCAACAGCTGATTGTGTGGAAGCCTATATCTTTGCACTGAACACCTCAATTTATCAACCTATCTTAATCCCAAGTTAGATTAAAATCTAATGTAAAATATAAAAAATATATTTACTCTTTAATTAAAAATACACCTACTCTCAAAAAATTATTAATTTTACTTAAAAAAAATATTGGTGTTAATCACTGAAGTTAAAGATAAATATAATGTTTATTATTTTTTATTTACTTTATATATATTTTTAATTTACTCAAAATAATTTAGCCAAAGGAATCCTCTGCACAAGAATCTCCTATTAAAATAATTATTTAATTATTTAATTAAAATAATTATTTAATTTAGTTAGAATATGATCACGATTAGGATTAACTTTATGTATATATATGTACCTTTATCTATTTAACCTATCCTCAATGCATTGTTTGATTTAAATTTCTCTGTGAAGAATATATATTCTTGTCTGTTGCAGTGTGCGGGAGTAAGAGATCGTTCTTTGAGGATATCTCGTCGCCACCTTCTCTAAGAAGCTCCAGCGTTGCTCGCCTTCATCTCCTTCGTCTGCTCGTTTCTCTTCGCCAGCACCGTCTTTTCTGGCTCACCTCGAAGCCCTTTTCCCTCACATGGACCCCGGCCTTCTGGAGAGAGCACTGCTCGAATGTGCCAATGATGTAGACATTGCCACCAAGAGGCTGCAGGAACTTTGCTTGGGACCTGCAGAGGCTACAGGAGAAAAGTCAGGTCCTGTTGAAGAAGTGGGCACAACTGCACAGCTAGGAACATTGACCAATGATGGGGAAGCTGCTGCTACCGTGCCTGTTCAGAATCCACCAGCCCCTGAAAATCTGCCTGTTGATGGTGCACATTGGGTGGACTTGTTTTTGAGGGAGATGATGAGTTGTACCAGTATGGATGATGCCAAAGCCCGTGCCTCTAGACTTTTGGAGGTTCTGCGGAAGTCCATTAGTAGATCTGCTGCTGAAGAGGCAGCACAAAGTTTTCACAAAGAGAATATCATGTTGAAGGAACAGATTGAAGTGTTGATTCATGAAAATACAGTCCTCAAACGAGCTGTGGTAATCCAGCATGAACGTCAAAAGGATCTTGATGATAAAAACCATGAGTTGCAACATCTGAGGCAGTTGGTGTCTCAATATCAGGAGCAGTTGCGAACTTTAGAGGTAAATAACTATGGCTTGATGATGCATTTGAGACAGGCACAGCAAAACAACTCCTCCATACCAGGGTGTTTCCATCCAGACGTCTTCTAATAAAAGTATATCTCTCCATGCCAGGGAGTTTCCACTTAGACGTCTCCTAATAGAAGTGTATGTCCATCTTAGTTGTGTAATTTAAATTAATAATTGTTGATTTAACTTAGTTGGGCTGATTTTGATTTTATCCTTTTCTCTTTCTTGACTAACGGCATGTCTCCTCTTTGTGTTCTAAAAACCTATAGAAACCAGTTGAATCTCATAAGCAAGTGCCGTTGAAACAGCACCACGCATACCGTAATGTCAATGCATCAATCCATACGGCCCACGGGCAGTAAAAGTAAGAATGGTTTGAAATTCATATGAATCTTTTGTATGACGCATTTTATAACCTGCTAATCATAAGGCTTTAGTTCAAAATACATTTACTCTCAATGATCTGAAAAACACCCTTTAATTCTCTATGATTTAGTTGAAAATACATTTATTTTATTGATTGTAACTTAAAATGAAAAGATAAATAAACCCTTTGTTATATCTCCATTTGTTTTTTTCTCTTTTATTTTATAAGATTTTTTTTAATAACAAAATTATGAGATTTAGGTTTTTTTTTTTAAATAGCAGATTTAGTTACTTGTGAGATTTAATTAATTTTTAAAATCAGGAAAAAGGAAAAAAAGAAAATAATAAATTAAATAAAATGAGGTATTTTTAATAGTTAAAGCAAACTTTGAAGAAATATTAATTTCATGGAATGTTAATATCAAAGTAGCAATCCGGAGTTTGATTATAGGGAAGCCTATGTCTTGCATAGAACAACTCAATTTACAGAGAATGTTACGGTGTAACTTTAATTTTGTGAGACACATTTTTTTATCAATCTACATTAATCTCAAGTTAGATCTTAAAACATAATGTAAAATATAAAGAATATGTATATTCCTAAGAATTTGAAAAACAATCTCTTATCATGAGGTTTAATTCAGGGTGGAGCTAGAACACTTTCAAAGGAGGTAAAAAAAAAAGAGAACTTTATATA